GGCAGAGGATGAGGAAATGTGAATAAAGTTTCTGTTTTTTAATAACTTTACCTTCATGTTTCCAGTAAACATAATATTTTTGCATTTGTTTTTAGGGTATAATTCTTTTTTGATTTGTTGACAACTTTAAGGCTTGAATTTAGCAGTAAATCGAGTATTAATAATAATAATTACAACTTTATTTGTCAGATTGACGAGCATAATGTTTCTGTTTGTGTCTGTTTCTGCAGGGCGATGGAGCAGGCAGCTGACCGCGTCTACATGGCAGCCCGTCTTTTTGTGCGTCTTTTCAACCAGCGCGGGGCGTCCTTACAGCATCGCATCCTGGAGCTTTTGGCTATGGCGGACGCCGCGGATGAGTTCCATAAGAAGACGGTGTCGGCCGCTGTGGGCGGAGGCGTGGCCAGCGTCGCGGGTAGCGTCACCACAATCACAGGCCTCATTCTGGCGCCTTTCACTTTTGGCGCCTCTATTATTGTGACAGCAGTGGGGATCGGTGTGGCGACGGCAGGCAGCATCACGTCAGCGACGGCTAAAATCACAGATACGGTCCACTCCAGCATGGACCGTAAGAAGATGGAGAAAATGATCCAGGGCTACCAGGAGGAGATCAAAGTTATCAGAGAGTGCATGGAGTTTGTGCAGGTGAGGGGATTTTTTCTAAAAGGTTAAGAACAAAGTATTTGAAGCACACTCTCTGAGATCAGAATACATTCCTGAGTCTACTAAAATATGATGGATTTTTTTTGTTTTGTTTTGAAATGCAAAGAAACATGTTGCCTGCCCAAGCTGAAATCTCTTAAGCTTTGCAGTAGTATCACAGATCCCACAGCAGGTGGCATCCTACAGCTCCAAGCTGTGTTGACTTGCTGACTGTGCATGGGTATGCGCTGCTCTGGTCAAGTGCTTATATGGCAGTTTACTGTGACACAATACTGCATTACAGTACTGCAACAATGACTGCAGTGTTTTAAATTCCTAGGACTGTAAATCCAGAGTTTTGTATCCCTGAATTTAGACACTCTGAGATGTAATCTAGCCTAGATTCAGTCAGTTAAGTCCATGTTTAACTGATTGTGTATGGTTGGTACTTTATACCCCTTGGCTGTAAAAGGCTGATGGAGTATTGTCGTCACTCCGCTGGTTGGGCAGGAGGGCGGGCAGTGCGGACACCCAACTTTGACACTTAACTTTGGTGAACTCGACCTTTTAAGAAGAAAATAATAATTCTTTTAATAAATGTTAAAAAATGATATCTCAATAATATGTTATCAACAGGTTTGACTTTAAACTCAAATTTACTGTGGGAAATCCTGCAAAGGCAAAAATATCCATCTCTTTATTGTCTCTCTTTTCTGCTGTAGATTGGTCTTGACACCCTGCAGGAGTGGGATTTTGAAAAATACGCTCAAAGTGCTGCCAAAAAAGCTATGAACCACAACATTAAACACGTGATGAAAGAGGGAGGCCGCGCGGGAAAAGCCCTGATGATCAACACCAACCAGGTCGTCAGCACCGTGCAGGTTTTAGGTAGGGCAGGCGGCATAGCCAAGGCCGCTCAGGCCATCAGCGTCACCACAGGCGTCATGTCGGCACTCTTTTTGGCTTTGGATGTTTTCTTCCTCGCTAAAGACTCTCATGAGCTTCGCAAGGGTGCCAAAACCAAATTTGCCACTAAGATCAGAGAGGTATGTAAGGACCTTCAAGATGGCCTCCTGGAGCTCAACAGGGTGAAGACGCAGCTGCAGAAGACGATGGACGGCATTGAGGTGGAGGAGTTTGAGGAGGTTGAGGAGGTGGAAGTAGAGGTTGAGGACGACTTGGTGTCTGATCCAAAGAAGCTGGCTGAGCTGGAGCAGGAGTTGGACCTCCTGGAGGAGAAAGTGGACAAGAAGGTCGTAGAGGTTGAGAAGAAGGGTAAAGAAATGGAGAAGGAAAATTCAAAAATTAAAAAGGTGAAGAAAGAGGAGAAGAGCATAAAAGAGAAAGATGAGAAGGAGAAAAAGGAGAAGAGCTTGAAAGGAAAAGATAAAGAAAAGGAGAAAAAACAGAAGGAGGACGGTAACGACAAAGACAAAGAAAAGATGCCCGATGAGGAAAAAGAGGAGAAAAACAAGGCAAGTGGCAAAACTGCCAAAGAAGAAGTCCTGAAACAACAGTCTCAGAAAGAAAGCAAACAAGACAAAAACACCAAAAACAGAATAACAGCTGGAAATGACAACTGTAAGGGTAAGGTCAGCAAAATAAACGATGATATTGTTACAAATAAAACAACAGAGAAAGAGAAACACAAAACTAGAATAGAGCAGGAGGAAGTGAAGAGCAGATCAGAGGGCAGCAAAAATGAGCGAGCGAAACCTGAGAGAGGAAGTGAAAGGAGAAGAAGCAGCAGGGACGATGAAGGAGAAATGAAGCCACCTGAAAGTACATCTGTAAATAAAGAGAAAACAGGGGACAGCAGTCAGAGGAGACATAGCAGCAGGAGTGAGAAAGGGGTAGAAAGAGGAGGTGAACATTTAAATACAGGAACTGGCGAAGAAAGGCAAAGCAGGAAAGGGAGCGAGGAGGATAGAGGAGTGAAGGACTGGAAAGCTGAAATGGCAAAAAATAGAGAAGAAAAGAGACAAGGTCAGGAGACTGAGAACAGGAAGGAGTCGCACCAGGATCACGAAATATCATCAACGAAGAGGAGAGGGTCAGAAAGAGAGTTAGGAGGCAGCAGAGAGTATTCAAAGAGGAGCCACCACAAGAGGGAGCACAGGGAGAGGGGAGATGAGAAGCATGGGAGCAGGGTGGAGAGTGCAAGGAGGCAGTTTGAGAGGGCAGGAGGTGAGGGAGGTGACACAAAGGCAAAAAGAAAAGACGATGGAGAGAGTCCGAGGAGTAACAGAGAGAGGAGAGGAAGTGAAAGAGGGAGAGAGCATGAACACAGCCAACCAGGACAACGAGCTCGTGCCAAAGCTCTCCTGCGAGACGGACTGGACATTTAAGTCTAACATCTACCGCCTTACCAACAAAAACATACAGTGTGTTACTTCAACAAGAAAATCCACAGCGTCTACGGTTTCTCACAGTACTGCAGTAAACCAGTGATAGCTGTGTGTACATGGAGGCGTACGTTACAAACAGGAGCAGCAGAAGGCTAACTGAACTCCTTTTAATGACGCAGATACAAGGATGAAACAGTAGCACTACTGGGGTGGGGGGTGGGGGTGGCCTGATGACCTGAGCTTCAAGTTGAAAGTCAGGACAGCTTGAAAAAGAAGCTGATTTTTGTCATCTGACAATAAGACAGTGATGTAGGAACGCCAGCAGCAGTGTTGTGAGCTCTCCAGAGATGCATTAGAATATCGTCTTGAAAATTTTTAGCATATTTGGTTTTTGATTTTTGGCTCCCAGAACCTCTTACAAATGTGATGAGTACGGGTGTCTTCATGGGATTTGTGTGATCCACAGATGATAACTCTAATGACTTTGATGCCTTCAGCACGACTGTTGGGTCAAAGGTAAAACTTTATTGTATCAGAGGAAAATTTACCTTCTGCTACTGTGCAGTGCTAAAAATAACTCGACATACAACCTATAAATACCCCAATAAAACATGGCAAATGCAAAAACAATAAATAAATAAATAAAATCAACACTAACATCACTTCACATGGATTTAAATCAATTATGACACCTGAGAATACAAGTAAATCTGCTAAATTAGAATTAGAAGTTATCATTAGACAGTTATCAGTAAAAATAATAATAACCAACCGCTGCTAAGCCTTTGGCATACTGACACACTACATAATACAGTGACGATTAGCGTGCTAATGTTTGCAATAGGTTCAAACTCTGAATTTAGTCTCTCTGTTTCACTCATTTGCTTCTCCCTTTGAGTGGGAAAATGTAAGGGGGTCTATCTGCAAACAATGTGAGACACGACACTAAGACTTCATATGAATCATTGCATTTAGAGGGGCAGATGTTTTAAGGTCCTGCCATACAGTCAACCTGCAGAATGACTCTTGCAAAAGCTTTCAGTGCGTTGTGGCATGATTAGCAGAAAGTAGTCTACAGGCCATCGGCACTTTCTAGTGGACTAACTAATGCACTAAAATGGATAATAGTAAAAATAAGTAAGGGGAGGTTAATAAATTTAAGATGTGGCTGAAGTCACTCTGTAACATTTCTGCAGCTGAATAATAAGCATGTGAATGGCTGGATTTGGTGAGTCGGGATGATTTGCAGCCCATGCTATACCTACCCGTTTTATTTTCCACAGCTTCAGAGACACTACATTTAGATGTTTT